CCCCCCCCCCCCCCCCCCCCCCCGTCCTTTCGGTTTGGTGTGCCTTGTGTGCATCGCTTCAGGAGCAAAGCCGCTGTGGTTTTTGTTGTGGGTGAGGACGTTGGCCTTTCCCACGTTGCTTGGTATTGTTCTCATGGTTGTGTTGGTGCGTGGTTCTTCTTGTGCTTGTTGTCGCTCCCCCCTCCTGTTTGGTTTGGTTTGCCTTGCTTACATAGCCGTAGGGGCAATCCTATTGGTGGTGAGAACATTTGGTGTCCTATTTTTAGGGGACGGAAGGGAAAACACTCTCCCCGTTGCGAAGCGCGACCATGACATGCAAACAGAAAATATAGGAAAACATTCATTAGACGTCTACCACATGAATGTTTGCTGCACGGACCCTCTCCCTGCCGTTTCGCGCCCGATCCTCCCTGAATTCCATCCTCACGAGAAGCCCCTCAATCCACGCAGCCCCCTCGCTCAATTTGACACGCTGGTAGTAGGAGCAGATAATTACCTTCTCTGGATTCCAATCGCTTCATAAGTTTTTCGGGAAACCTTTTCGGCCGGGCTACGCCACCTCGCATCCTCTTCAACGGCCCCGGCGTGTTGCCATTGTTGTTGTTGCTGCTGGTGTTTTTTCTTTTCTTGTCTTTCCTACACCGGCCTGTATCTTGTTCTTGCTTTCACCGCGACAAATTCATCTGTCTTGTGTTTCTGGACCTGCTCTCGTTGTTTCTTTTCTTATTGTTTCCTATGATACACCGGCCTGTATTTTGTTCTTACGTTTACCGCAACAAAACCGATCTGTTTTTTTTCTGGTCTGCTATCTTCTCCTTCGACGCGGGACCAGGTCGGGTTGTTCAGCCCAATCTTCGTCATTGGTGGTCTGATGGGGAGAATCTTCGGAGAGATCGCCAACTGGGTGGACCATTGCTTGGACAGCGTCAACATCAACTTCCAGGTGTTGTTGTTGTTGTTGTTGACTTCACATTAAAAACCGTTCCCGTCTCCACTCAGTACCTTCTAAATGTCCCAACTGGTCCAACTGACGTGTGCGTGTTTCTATTGCAGCTTTGGCTGTGGCTTTGGCGAGGACATTAATCTTGGTTTTAGTACGGGTTTCAGGGGTTGGGGGGTAGGGTTTGGGATACGAAACCCCCCTCTCTATTTCATAGACTAACAATAAAACCATCGCAAAGGCGGTTCAACCTTGGAGAGGTCTCTTGATGCTCTCTGCATCTTGTAGGCCACACACATACAGGAAACGACTATTGAAAAATGATACTTGCATGGACGTAAACCTGGGTGCTTGAGTCGTGCCAATGGTTGAAAGAAAGGCCTGCTCGTCAACTCCCTCATCCACTTGCTGCAGTCTCTTGCTTGGGTAGGAGCAGCTGCCGCGTCGTAACGTGCCAGCAACACTTGCCTACGCCGCTAGCGTCCTTAGAGCGAGTGGACACGTGCCTCGCGGCGTTAGAGCCCCCCCCCCCCCCCCCCGGGAAGTTAGCCCTCGGGGTTGGGTTTTTCTCCCTTGGGAAACAACTTTTAAAAAAAACCCCCCCCCGGGTTTTTCCTTCGGGTTGGGGTTTTCTTCCTTGGGAACGAAATTTTAAAAAAAAGCATTTTACTTTTTGAGGTCCGGAAACAGGGTAACCCTTTTTTTTTTACCCTGTTTTTTTTTTTGGGGGAAACATAAAGGGGGGCGAAAAAAATTTGTTGGGGGGGGGCCAAGAACCTCCCTTCCCGCAAAAGAAAAAAATCCACGTTTTGTTAAAATTTGTTAAAAACCCCCCAGGGAATTACACAACAATGGTTAAAACTGTTTCTGGAAACCAAAAAAACCAAAAAAAAAATAAGGCCTAACCAG